GGCAAGGCTTTATACAGATAGTATTCACCTATATCATAACCAGTGCTCTGCAGAGGCAGTACAGTATAGCATGGTATTTGGGCACTTAAGAGGAAAGATATATAAGTATTGCACCTACCTTCTGTTTTATAGGATCTTTAACAGTACACAAAAAAGACTGTGATTCTCTTCTACATACTGAATTATGTAGCATTATTGAGGTACGGGAGGGAAAAAATTGAGAGAATTTACTTGCCTCGTAAATAGGTCTTTTCAAAAAAAGACCGCAGAACATCCTGTCTTGAGTCTTTAATATTTCTATTTCACTTTCTATTAAAATTTAACGGTTTAGATTTTAATTACTTTTAAAGTTTTATTTAGTCAGTGACAGTTATTTCATTATACAAGATTTAGTTATAATTCCAACATGGTCATTGACACAAATGCTATTTTAAGGGTGAAAAATGCAGTAGACAACACTGGTTTTTTAAGACAGAATTTAAGGTTGATTTGAGACTGGCCAGTAACAGTAGTTAATAAATAAGTCATTAAAAGAGCAACTAAAATTTGGAATACAAAGAACGGTGACTATACTGCAAGTTGATAGTTACAGCCTACCTAATGTTTCATTTGGCTACTTTTCCAAGCTGTTCTGGACTGTTGCTGAACCCCAAGATTCAGCTTAAGAGTTGGCCAGCCAACTTAATTTTTAGGCAATGCCTAAGAATTTTAGAAAGGTAGAACTGCTCTGTTTGTCCTCATTTCTATTTTCTGCTTCTAAATGGATTGAAAGGAGTATGAGATAAGAAATAGAAGAAATATTCCTTTGTTTTTTTATAGTTTCAGTTATTCACTGCTACATGATTATGGTTCTTCAGGGCTGGGCTGGGGGAGGGAGAGTCTGTAATCTGACAAGCTACAGCTATTTCTGTGTTAGTCTCAAAACCCATTATTCAAATATATACACCATATTCTTTAAAGTTTTATTACTTTGCAGTCAATGATACATAGATTTAGCAACTGCTGCTAAGTTTTCCTGAGATTTATGGATATTTACTCATAGCAACTAACTACAGAAGACTATTGTAAAAGATGGCAGATTAAACATGCACATTCAACTTTGATCCCTCCCCAAACATCACTAAAATGACAGTATGGGGGATTTTTAAAAAGCAGAATCCTATATGGACAGAAGGGGGAAGGCAATGAAAACACTATTTTGAAGACTAGAAAAGCAGGTGGGTGAATAGTAACTGACTTGGTGTGTATGTGTGTGTATATATACCAAGTCAGTTTTTAAAAAATATATATATATAGATATATATGATAATGGTTGAATTCCAAGCCACTGGAGAAAGCTGAATGTCACCCTGAAATAAAATGTAGACTCTCTGAGGGGCTGTAGAATAAGGATGGAATGAGACTAAAAAGATTGCTTGAGGATCTAAAAAATTATACCCTCTAAATCTTCTTGCACTGAGCAACCAGTTTGAAGTTTTATTGTAACTTTTCTTGATGTTAACAAAGGAGATACTCCACCAAAAAAGAATTAAGCTAAGGATGAAGACGTGGAAACCAAGAAATGGAATTCTACAAGAGAGGCTAAGTGATTCATCCAGATGATGGTTGAAAGGACATCCCAAGACAATAGCCACATGTATAGCAATTCTGGAGCAGCCAGGCTTCACTGGAGTAGGTAGGAAGGCTCCTGGAAAGACTTCTCTGATGAGATGAGCATACCTGCTAAGTTTGAAGATATTGAGAAGAAATTTACGAACTAGTGAGTTGAGGGATAAATCAATGAGAAGTATGTGAAAACAGTAGAAAAAACTGTCTAGGGAAAACAAACTTATGCAAAAAGGTAAGATCAGTATAATACATATTCCAGCTACAAATGGAAACACATTCCGTAAAATCATGGTATAACCATATTGGTAGACGGAGGGAGTAGGAAATAGTGAAATGGGGTAGAGTTAAGCAGAGTGAAAGCTAAAAAGCTCATCATCTGTGGTGGCAAAAACTGCAGGTACCCTGTATCTGACGTGCCTGGGACCAGAAGTGTTTCCGATTTTCTTCAGACTTTGGAATTTTGCATAAACAATACATAATGACACTTCTCAGGGTTGAGGAGGGTTGGAAGAGTCTTTTTTTCCCTTGGTGATGCTGAATAAAACTCTTATGTGCCCATGTTTGACTAACCTATAACGTGAAATCAGGTGTAGAATTTTCCACTTACGGTATCATGTTAACACTGAGAAATTTTTGAATTTTGAATTAGGTATGGCCAACTTGTAAGAAATAACATCTAAACTGAAAAAGCATGTAGCATAGAGATTAAGAGGTTAAAGTCTTTTTAGCTATAAGACCAAAAAGTGATGGTTTATGGGAGTAAAAATTGGGTATAGGTAGGGAAGTAGAAAACTGTTGAATGACAAGCCTCATAGAGAACTTGAAGTTTTTAAATTGTGTGTATGATAACTTTAAAGAGAAACTAAAGGAAAATGGACAGTGCCAATAATCGGGGAAGTATGAGTTTCAAGTTCTCTGTGGCACTGGCTGTTATGTCAGGAAAAAAAGATCAACCTTTTTCCTGTGATATGAAATGTGTTGGGGTCCCATGTAAGCAAGGCAATCATTAGTAATATAAAGGTCTAATAACTATAAAGCACTTCACAAACTCATCCTTTGTGGTTGCAAAGTATTAGTCCTATTCCCATTCTGTACATATCTTGAGAGAGGTTAAGTGACTTGTCTAAGCTTACCAGACCTAATAAATAGATCCAGCGTGGGATTGGTGGGGTATCAGGCTATTAAGTCTAAATTTTGTGGTTGATTACCTTTGTGAACTTCGCCAACTACCTTAATCTCTCAGTATTTGGTTTTTGACCTCATGTTATGTGGTAAACTATGTTCTCTGCGACTTAAAAACTACAACTAACTTCTTGAGTACTGTTGTGGCTACGTCATATTCTTTTGATGTGTAGTGTTTTTTCTCACTGTTTTTTTTAATAGCTGTTTTAATTTCCCCTGTATCCCAAGTGTTTTGAAGTGTTTTTTAAATGTTAATCTCACGGCAAGTATCCTTAGTTACCTCTTTAGGAATCAAACTGAAGTGAAGCTCAGGGAGGTTTAGTGACTTCCAGAGTCGTGAAGCAGCACACCAGGGAATCTTGTTCTGGACTAATAGATGCCAAAGTCTGGGCTGTCCTGCTCCTGAGAAATACCACTAATCAGTACTTTGACAGCTCTTGCTCATAATTATCACTATGCAACTAGGCTCATGTACAAACTTTCTGCGAAAATGGATTAACATCAGGAGAGATCTTTTTGCTTTCTGATAACGTCAGGTAAATGGTGAGAGGAAAAATTTTGTCTTTTTTAAACATTTCTGTACTTGTTGTGGTTCATGGTATAACGTTGGGAGGGAGAGTAAACTTAATACCTTATGCATAAGAATCAAAAGATTTGTAGATGGTGGTTTTGACAGTGAAAATGATTTTTCCTCTTCAGAATGTTGTTGTTCTTATGTGTATGCATTAATAACAATGTATCTATGTCATACAAAACTTTTCTTTTTAAAAGGCTACATCTATCCCAAATTTCTCTTATATGGGAGCTCGCCTGTGTAATTACCTGTCCCATCATCTGACAATTAGCCCACAGAGTGGCAACTTCCGCCAATTACTACTTCAAAGGTCAGTGTGAATTTGAAAGTAAAGGAAAACCAATTCTAAATGTACTACAATTTGACTATCCCTCTTTTCTAAAGACTCTGTGTAACAGAAGGTTTTAGGGCAGAATAGGGTGACCTATATGCATAGTATTAGAAGTTTATAGTCAAATATTGGTCTTTTTTTTCTGAAATGGTTTCTTATTTGAGGTTTGTGTTTAGAAGGCCTTTCCTTTTCTAAGGTCTTAAAAATGATCAGTTATGCATTTCTATGCATTTCTGGTTTGAGTGAAGACCTAATTTTACTTAGAATAAAAGTGAATAATCTTTATTGATTTGAACTGCCACCTTTATCACACTACATTCTTATATTTGGGCTTTGATTCTAGACTTTCATTGTATCCCATTTATCACTTACCATATTCCTTTTTTTTTT